CAGGCGTCGTCATCGCGTCAGCCCGTCGATTATTCCAATGTCCGAAGGCCGTCGAGTGGTACTTTAGCCGGAGCAGTCAATCATGTGTATGCTGGGGCTGGCGCACTCGATAGAGTGAGGTTGTATGGCAGTCAGCGGTAGACGAGTGCGGACTTGAAGCACAGTCATCCACACGGCGTTTCAGAGGCGTGGCTATGCATAGGCAATGGCCCCAAAATACGAATAAACACACCCCCTAAATGTCCGCGCCAAGCCATGACTGAGCAGTGGCGCCGCTGCAACGCTTGCTGCTGGCCAATCATGGCGCGAGTTTGACTGGTAGCGCAATGACGGGTGTCAGGGCGGGCGTAAATGGGTGCGGGCCCTAAAACTAAGTGGGGCGGCGCCCTCAGCTCTCGACTATTCCCCGGTTCTTGCTATACCATCTATCCTTCTCCCTCTTCTTCCTTGCCTTTTCCCACACTCACTTTTCTACATATTTCGTCTTGAACCCTAGTCACTCACTTGCCATTTTCCATACTAAACATGCGTTTCACAACTGCTCTTGTTCTTGCGGCTACCGCTGTCACCGGCGCCGTCGCCCAGGACTCCATTGTCTTGGGTTTCAACTCTGGCGCTACTGACGACAAGGGCAAGGCAAAGACTCAGGCCGACTTCGAGAAGGAGTTCAAGACCGCCCAGAACCTCAAGGGTGCGCCTGGAAAGTTTAACACCATCCGTCTCTACTCCAACGTTCAGGCCGGTACCACCGATACCCCTATTGCCGCTTTCCCAGCTGCCATTGCCACAAACTCCAAGCTGCTCCTTGGTGTCTGGGCCTCGGGTACCGACAGCATCGACAATGAGCTCAAGGCCCTGAGCTCCGCCGTCGAGGAGTACGGCACCAAGCTCACCGACCTCATTGTCGGTCTCTCCATCGGTAGCGAGGATCTCTACCGCGTCTCTGAGCCCGGTATCAGGAACAAGTCCGGTGTTGGCAACAGCGCCGAGAAGATTGTCCAGTTCATCAAGGACGCCCGTAAGAAGCTCGAGGGCACCCCCCTGAGCGGCGTCAAGATCACCCACGTCGACACCTGGACCGCCTGGGTCAACGAGTCCAACAAGGCCGTCATTGACGAAATTGACTTCCTTTCCGTTAACGCTTTCCCCTTCTACGAGGTCGAGCACGACAACAACGTCAAGAACGGCGGCAAGCTTCTGGCCAGCGCCATTGAGGCTACTGAAGGTGTTGCAGCTGGCAAGGACGTCTGGGTCACCGAAACCGGTTGGGCATACACCGGTCCTGACTTTGGCGCCGCCGAGTGCACCGTTGACAACCTCGAGTACTACTGGAAGAATGTCGGTTGCGCCCTCTTCAACAAGAGGAACGTCTTCTGGTACACTCTCCGTGACGCCAACCCAGCCAACGAGGTCAAGTTCGCCATCACCGACAACCTGTCCACCACTGCCCGTTTCGACCTCACTTGCGACAAGGATGTGACCCTTCCTTCCGCCTCAGCGGGCAACAGCACTCACACCAACGGTACTTCCTCCACTGGCCACTCTTCCAGCGGCAACTCGACTAGCAGCACTGGAAGCGGCAACGGCACCAGCACCTCTGGCGGAAACAGCAGCAACGGTGGCAGCAGTGGAAGCGGTAGCGGAAGCGGAAGCGGTGCTAACGGCGCCAGCCCATCATCGCCCCCTGAGAGCAACAGCGCCAGCTCCGTCTCCCTTGTCAACGCCATGGCCATGGGTCTCTCCGCCGTCTTCGCCGCCGCCGCTTGGGCTTTGTAAGCGCGGTTAGCACAACGAGAATCGTTTAGATACTAGACTTCCTTTATGTTAGTACCAAAAGTAAACGGTCGCGTTCGTGGCGGGGGAAGTTGGAGTCGTCTGCGAACATTTGTACCTGTTTGAGCGACTGGCTCGCAAGCCTATGTCTTTGTAATATATCCCTAGAAATGGAAGGCCAGTCATTGTTGTCGTCAAATTGAATATTTTTGCGAATATGTACATGTTGAAAGTTGTGCTCGTGGTGATGCGTGGGAGAAGAAGGGGAGATTTTGCTGATGGCGTAGTAGATATAAGCCGCGCCTACCTGCCCCACTTGTCCAAGACGCAAGCAACGTCCGCAGCCGCAACCTTGTGTCTCGTCGTCAGCACTATTGCATCGTGTACTAAGCACTTTGTTGCCTTGTCGTCAGAACTCTTAGGTTCTCTTGTCAGCGTTGCTTACCGTCAAGCCTAGAATATCCAATTAGTATACTTGGACAAAGAGTGTATACGCTTCAATCAGCTCTTCGCATATCAATATTCTCCTTCTCTTCTCTCAAGTAATATTGTAAGCTCTTCCTCTATTTTTTTTGAAAAACTACTGCGCATGCATGTTCTACTTAATGTACGAGAGCAGACTCGCACTAAAAGTATCTACTTCCAGAACAGGAAGTAGATAATACTTAGTACTCGCCTTTTCTGGCTCATATAATCCACTCAGCTATACTAGGTCATGCTCGCGCCTTATTATCAGCTTATATATCATCTCGTCACCTTCGATGACACTATTTACATAGTTGGTGGAGTAATTACTACCTCATTCCCATACACTTTCCAGCTACACCCATCGCACCCGGATATCACCGTACGCCTTTCGTACGAGCCAGCAATTCAGACCCATCGAGGCTGCAATGGTGGGGATTAAAAATAGTCACAGCATGCATCTCATCTGAGATGATACGGGACTAGGCAAGATGAAAACCTTGTTCAACTAGGAGACGGTGAGGCAGAGTGGATGTATGAAGGTTCTGCGCTAAAACTTTGTTTGGAGGATCTGGACTTTGCGGGGTCGGATCTGAACGAAATTGTTGGAAACCTTTTCGGATGTAGGGTGTGTATCTGGTATCTCCTAGTATGAGGATGCGATAGTAGAATGATGATTGTGTGGGTGGTTGTGTAGAGATAACATCGGTAGAGACGAGATACCTGAGAGATATGGTATGTTAAAGGCAAAGTGGAGACATTTCACACGCTTTGCACCCAATTCTTTCTACGAAACTATGCATCTGTTAGCGTAGTTATCATGTCCAAACAGGAGAGTTGGTAGTATGTCACTCGATCAACGGCAAAGCTTCCACTAGCGCTGCTATTCGCGTTCAGAGCTCAACAGGAAGCGATCCTTCTCAACCACGATGATGTATGGATATTTATGGGCAGAAATTCTGGAATAACTCTTTGAAGCTGGTAATTTGCCTACAATATACACTAATCTAATGTACTGTGTTATGGAGAAGGAAGTCTTCATACTCCGAAGGTCTGTGTGCTAGACCACGACACCAACGAGGTTACCAGAACGTATCCGACCCGTCGCATAGAACATGGGACCTTGCACTAAAGTAGGAACCCTCGAGAGAAATATTTTAGTTTGAATAAAGAGCAAGAGGCGCTACTTGTATCAACCCGCAGTCAGCTCAAGCGAACATGGTAAATATACTTTGCGAGTGTATATCTACCCGGCCTATTGTATGCGGTAGAAAGTGTACAAAAGGATTTACTCTGACAATGATTTCTAACATCTTGTCTATCGCAAGGATACTTTACTATCGAGAGTATAGTCACTATGGTTCTCTCACCTCCCCTCCTCATGCTGAGCTACTCACACTGCTTCTAACTTAATCTCCTCGTAGCAGCCCATGAAGACATCAACACCCGGGACCTAAGCAACAGCTTGCTCAACACGTGAGCTGCATCTTTTATTGCTCGGATCTCAACTGTACCTGCAGAGAAAACCGCACGGTACGCGCGCACCCGACCGCAATCACTAATTCGTGCATCTCGAGCCGCACTTTCAGCGTAGGAGACTGCGATTTCAGCCTCATCGGCGACGCCGTCTACACCATCCATATACACGCATTACAAAGACCCGCTTTACACATCAAGACAACCTGATCCAACCAGTCGACAGGGGGAATTGACCACAACTCTGACCTCTTTCGTACAATCATCCCAATCCAGCTTAGAATTTCTATTTTTGGGAGGCTGCCCCGATCCACTTCATCCCGCTCCCTTTACCGAGGGGAAACCCCCCCCCCCCCCCATGATATACCCACCTTCCTTGTTGTTTATCCGTCTCGTACTTGATAGTCTTCTTTTCCTTAGAAAGCGAAAAAAAAAATACATGAATTAAAGTAATAAGTAGGTGAGATTTTAAAGAGTGCAAGAAAGCAAAAGATGAAATAAAATAAAAAAGCCTTAGTTATTACTATGTCAGGATTGTTGTTATCTAGATTAAATACCAGGTAACAACACCCATTCATTCGGTCTCCCCAATTGCGTATCTCCTCCCCCCCACTCCGCACATTACTCATCACACTCAAAATCGTGCCACCTTTGTACGCAGGTCCCCGACGACGCCACGACTTCATGCAACCAATATGTTGGACGAACGGTAGTCAGGCAAAATATATTAAAGATGCGAAGGTCGATTGGGCTTGCTCGGGTTGTCACGTGTCAAGTGGGGACTGAGGGGGGGCGGTGCAGGGCGTAAGTATCGAGATGGGAGGGCCAATCAGGTGGTTGGGTGGGTAGGACGCCTTGAGCCAAAGAGGAAATGGGTGAAGCCGGTTGGGTGGCTCGGGTGGGGGAGTTGTATGGAGGATTGCAGGTGAGAGTATTGGGGGAGGGAAAGACAGGGGGAGGCGAAGGCAGGATTGGGAGCCGAGTTTGGTTGTTTCGAGTTGAAAGGATTCGTGGTGTTGTATGTGTATGTATGTGTTGCCTTTTGAGAGGCGTAGTTCGCTCTTTTCTTGAGGGGGTTTCCCTTTTTTTTTTCTCTCATCTACATTCTTTGCCAATTTCGAAAGTGTTTTTGTGGGTTCGAGACGTTTCGTTGATAACACTCTTTTTTCTTTACGAACTGGATATACATACATTGCTCTCCTTTATATGGTCGCTACACCCCAGATTCAATAGCCATGGCACGACTACTACGAGCAACTACCTCAACGCCACTCTTCATCCTCGGCATGCTCCCTTATACAACCGCCGCACCCCTTATCAAACGCGAAGAGGGATACATCCTTCCAAAGCCCATCATCATCCTACTTATCATCATCGGAGCTGGACTGTTTGTGTGTGTGGGATTTGCGGTACACAGCGCCTTTGGGTTCCGGACAAATGGAAACGGCATGAGAAACATGGGGGCGGAGCAGATGGAATATATGACGGAGGTGCGTGGACGAAACTTGGCGGGCATGATGGCCCAAGGACAGCGGAGTCGGATGGAGGGAGCTGGGCCTGGGGGGTTGAGGAGGGACGAGAGTGTGTACGATTAGGGGTGTGTTGGAACAGGAATGGAAGAAGTGGAGAGCAATCTTTGTGTTGAATTGAGCATTATAAGCTGGGTACATTGGGTTTACGTATATCCTCACAATTTCAGTTCAGATACTGGATTTGATACTAGGACAGATGGCGTTTTTGATGGTATGATTGTTTTTTAGCTAGCTATTGTGGGTGTATACATATCTTTACTGCTTGCGTTTCTATACTGCATATGGCATTGGAACTGGCTACAATGAATCCATGTATCTGTTTGTCTCTTGCACTCATGTACAGAAACTGGTCTTGGGATAGGAATTGTTCATGAGAATTGTTGCAAGAAGAACAGTGGGTGCATAAGTCCTTCTATTGCTTCCACTGGACTCTCGCCCAGCAGGAAAGAATTGCAATTGCCCCTCAACCAGCGGAGTGGCTGTTACAGTAAACACAGTACTTTAGGAGACACTCCCCACGAATAGTCGAAACTAGGTAGTGCTGCAACACCGTAAGCTCTGGAATTCGCCCGTTCGCATGTCCTATAAGAGGCCTTTAGATAGAACGTTAAGTCTGAACAAATAAACAAACTGTTTCCACTGGCGTACTGCATCTGATATTAGAGTATGCCATGTTTGTGAATGGTTAGCCTAGGTGCATTGGGTGCATGTACGTGTCTATCGTTTACGTCAATGTACTACATCTAGTACAGGAACAAGAAATGTTCATTATGGTTTTATTATTACCATTTGACTACACTGAGTAGATTCATTGCTTCTACTGCTCGTATGATGTACTATATCTGCAATCAGAAGAAGCAGTGTTACTAATTAACATAATCCTTGAAGGCTAAAATTACCACAAGCCGACTAAATCGAGTCTATGTAGCTTACTACTACCTGCATTTTATGACGCATGTGCTACACTTGGCAAGAGAATAGGCAGTATTTGCATAAAGTGTTGATTGTAGTGGATCCATGCACAAGTCCCCTAGATGCAATCCTACCGTATATTATCCGACACTAGGACAAGCATGATCTGCGAATAGTACTCCAATCATCCCCAACCTATCTACAACAATAAATCTTGGTATCTTCCTCTCCTTCACACTATCATCATCCTCGTTAAATCCATGCCCATATTTCTTCACCGTTCTACGAACCAACTCGGCTAAACCATACAAAAGTAGTTAGAAAAAGAAAACACACACTTACACACACACAGCTGACCACGTACATGTACACACCGCTGGCCCTACAATCTCTCTCTTTCATCGAGAATAAAATAAAACGCTAGGTCGGCGACGTCAGGACCAAAGGAGAGGGCTTGATTTGCGGCACAGGACTCGTATTAGGCAGAGAGGATGAGAAGATGCACGTACATCCCTGTACATGTAATGCATGTATGCGGGAGAGAGACAGGAAGAGAGACAAGAAAAGGTGGCTGATTAAGTTAGGCCGGAGAAGGGCCAGGCCATGAGGGTAGTTGTGTTAGTGGGATGCCTGACAAGCTCGAATGCCGAGACAGTTCGCTGGCAGTAGCTAAACTAGCTAGGGGCTCGGACGGAGAATTTCGGGATTTGGGGCTGAAGATGCAGCATGTAGGTGTTCCAGAAGGCGAGGGCAAATGGGTCAGTGCGGTTAGATACATATTTGGATATACGGGTTTATGTCACTGACAAGGGCATGGGGTGATTTGGGGGAATGGGTGATTATGGATGTCATGGTACGTAATGTCACAAAAGCCAATGATGTCAAGTCAAAGTTTAATGTGCTGGTCAAACGGTCGATGATAGTTGAGAAGGGGAAAAGGGCAAAGAATTGGAATTGGTCAAGGTAACTGCAGAAACAAAACGAGCAAACAGGCATCATAGTCAGCATAGCAAATGGCAGAGGATCAAGTAGCCTCTGTAGCTGAAGAGGGCCCCTCGTCATCCACGCCCATGGCTCTGAGCTTGGCTTCGACAGCTGCGACCACCTGGGCATCGAACTGACCTGACTTGTTTGGTTTCTTGACACTACATCATGTTAGCAAATGACGATTGTTGTGCTTGAAGAGGCAATATGGGGGTACATACGGAGATCTGGTACACTGATCGCACCGTTCGTGTCCGCAACCTGGACACTGAGGCTGGTGATTTTGGAAGAGGCTGTTGCACTTTTCACACTGCCAGCGAACCCTAGTTCTTGGTTTCCGCCATGTGCGCCTAAACGTCTCGAGTTGCCTATCGACCTCTGTTTCGCTGTCTGCTTCGGCGTCGCCGGGGTATCCGGCGGGCCATTTGGTGAGTTTTGCGGGCTCGCGGGGACACTTTGTGCATCTGGCGTGATGGCAGTTTTGGCAGATGACGGCTTTGGCAGGGACGAAGACGGTGGAGCACTTGTGGCAGGTGCGTCTGATGCGCTGCTTGGTAGGCTGGTAGACGAGTTCGTCTCCAGCGCGGGTGCGGATGGTAAGCATGCGCTTTCTCTTTGGCTGGTCGGGGGCGTCCTTTTCGGCCTGCTTCTCCTCGGGCGTCTTCTTCTTGGGAAAGCGAGGGCACTTCTTGCAGCGCCTGTGCTCGCACTGGACACAGGTCCTGTCGGCGCCATAGAGGGTGCCGCAGCGGTGGCAGGTGCGGTGGACACGCATGCGAATGGGCTTCTCGACACGCTGCAGAGGGGGCATGGGGCCCGGGGCGGCGATCCACTCATGAGACTCGAGAGTGAGGCCATACTTTGCAAAGAGAGCGCTGGCACGCTCCTGCTGCATGGCGTTGCGGTCCAAGGATTTTGAGGCGGGAGCGGGGCTGTCATGTTGTTAGTGGTATTGGTGTTGAAGTCTATTGAGAGACTCACGTGGCGGGGATGGCCTGGGTAGAAGTAGAGGTGGTGATGTCCTTTGCGCTTTTATTGTCGACGGATGGGGTTTCTTGTTGTTGTTGTTGTTGTTGTTGTTGTTGTTGTTGCTGTGGAGGTGGTGATGTGGAGGAAGGTTGCTGCTCCTGCTGTTTTTGCTTTTGCTGTTGCTGTTGCTGTGGTTGTTGTGGTTGTTGTGGTTGTTGTTGGGCTGCAACAGCAGCAGCAGCAGCAGAAGAAGAGGAAGGAGCGTCCGGGGCTGGGGCAGGCGGTTGCGACTTGGAGGAGCGGTCCCTCTTGAAGACGGTGCTCATTCTCTTAACATATTTGCCCAGGCCCGTCTTGGCCTTGTCCTGGGCCGGAGGGTTGGGAGGCGTCGACATGGCTGGCGATGGTGAGTGACAGTGACAGTGACAGTGACAGTGAGAGCGATTTTTGTTGGTGGTGGTGGTGCAGTTGAGCAGCAGAGGGTGGAGGGTGCAAGGCCGAGGTCGTGTCCAAATCCCTAGAGTCTGGCCACTGGGTCAACTGGTCGGGAGGGACACCGAAGGCTTGGTAGGCGAACCCCACTGGTGCCCGCAGCCAATACACACACTACTCGTACAATGGCTGCTACTTTGCTAGCGAGACGGGCGGATGGGTCGGTGGCTTGAGACGGCAGTGTCCAGGTCTGATTCTAATTCTAATTCCAATGCGCCCCGTCGTGTATATGTAGACCCCATGCGTCGCCGCCAGCACAATCAATCGGGCCATGACAAGCTTGGTGGCATGGGCTGTTCATGTTGGCCGTCTCCCGGCGTGCTGGGATCGACCCCGAACTACTCGCAAGCGGCCCGTTGGTGGCCAAGGCACAGCTCCCTGCTCGGCCGACTGCGGCGACGGGCTTTTCCCCATCACCATGTCCATATGTACGCCTACGCCAGGGCAAAACAAGACGCTTGCCCGTGTCCGCGGCTACTTACTACACTGCATCTGCCTGTGGGCATGCATATTTCCATACAGTACTGTAGCATTGCTATATCCTGCCCATGTACATATCCTACACATGCCAATACTGACATATATTGCCCCCGGTGCACCGTCACATCGCTTGCCCGCTTGCCCGCCTGCCCGCTGCACTCAGACCCTCAGCGGCCAGGTCATCCAAGGCCAATAGCTGCCCACTCACTGCTCTACACATACGTAACTAGAGGCGCATACACGTCGATATACCACCGACAGAATGGCCGTCAGCCTGGTGGCTTGGGTACGGCTGCATCGCTCCCCGTGAGCTGGGTCGCGGGCTGCTGCAATGGCAATGTCATGGCCGCTGCTTCCGCCCACCTGGACTCTACGCGCTCGCTCGGGCCTTCTTTTCGCCTCACCCACTACCATTCGATCCCAATACCCCAGCATTCCGCACACGCCAACATCACGACTCCATGCAACACATCGATGTCACTCTCTTCATCTTTCCCTTCGCCTCTACCTACACACAATCACATGTTTCTCTCTCTCTCTCTCTCTTGTATCCAGGCTAACCTAACCCATGCCCAGCCTAATAACCACCTCGACTAGTCCCACTCCTGCGCTGCTTGGCCTCCATCAGCACTAACCACGCAGCCCGCCATAGTCATCACCACAATGAATGTCACTATCGTCCTTTCCGTCATCTCCGTCTCCATGCTTTGCATCCCATGCCTCCATCAGCCTTCGTAGCTTCAAAAAAACCACAATACAAACTTCCATGCCGCCCGCTACAGCATATACCTGCCGAATCAGATCCCTCGCTTAACCCCCCTCGCAACCCGCGCCCGTTTCCCTATGCCCAAAACGTACCACTATTGCGGCATGCTCAATACTCTGCCACCCCCAACCCCTGTTCCCCTTCAAACACGGCCCATATCTCCCCGACCCCATTCACATTTCCTCTTCAGTCCAACCACCTCATCCGTTCATCGCGAACCTTGAGAACAAAAGCATAATAAAACAAATATCAAGGATAAGCCTTGCTTACCAGTACACATCTGCCGAGACGCAGGGTCAGAAATAATAAAAAACGGTATCCCGGTGCAACGGTCCGACTCCCTCGTCTCCAACTTCCCTCATTCTCGCATTTTTATTTTGCCCCAAACACATCCATCATCATCTTTCTCCATAATACATGCTTGCCTCATACATGTTAATGCAAAACTCTACCCCACCCCCACCCCCCCTAGTTGGGCATCCTTTTGTCTTGTTTTTTCTGCTCGAGCCGAATTTCTCAAATCGGGCACCAACCAAACATGGGCAAAGAAAAAAAGGCTAGAACGTGACACTAGCCGTGTGCGCGCATCCCATAGTAGGTAGCGCCCGCGCCTGCGCCTGCGCACACACTTTCTCTCTCCCTCGCTTCGCACTCCCCCCCCCCCCCACTGGCGTTTGACCCAGTTGGAGTCCTCCCCCCTTATGCTTGTATAATACAGGCTTCATATTATAAGATTGCGTCGGCATCTCCAAACGGGATATCAACGCGACCGGGGGACACGTTGATAGATTCTACTGTCGCATCTTTTTGATAGCTAGTTGGGGATTAAGCTCGTGTACAAGTAGAGAGCGGGAGATTGGGATCTACCATTCTCTCGTTTGCCTCTAGATGTTAATACAAAAGAAAGAAGATTTGGCAGTTGACACTCAATATACATGTGCATAGTAAATACGAGATAGACAGGAGAGTCTTTTATGTGTAGACTACGATGCAACGCTAAATAACTACATACCAACTACATGACCCATCGCAGCGCCATACGCCCCTTCCCTAACCAACTAGATAAACAAACAAACAACCAAACAACCATTCTCTCCCTCTCTTCCTTCACAAATGCCTTTTTCTTGCATTCTGGTGCAGCGCTCTTACTTACACCTCCCCCATACTATACTTACAATCTGCTCTCATACTCCTTCAAACTACAACCTACTCTCCCATCCCCTCGCCCCTTCACCTTCCCACCTCTCGGGCCACACCTTACCCAGCGCCTCCCAGATGTGTCCCACAAATTCAATCTTGAGTCCGCGTACAACCTCCTCAGGCAACTCACTAGCATCCTTTCGATTGCCCTCCGGCAGCAGCACTCGCTCCACGCCAGCACCCAAAGCCCCAATCAGCTTCTCTTTGATGCCTCCCACAGGGAGAACCCGGCCGCGCAGCGAAATCTCACCAGTCATGGCCAGCGTCGGCGGTACAGGCTGATTGCTAAAGAGCGAAATAAGACCAATGGTATGCGCAAGTCCGGCAGACGGGCCGTCTTTTGGGATCGCCCCGCTGGGACAATGCACGTGGATGCTGCGGTTCTTCATGATGTCCTCGTCGTGCGTGGTGCTGAGCCCCAGGTCGAACGCGTGCGCCTTGACCCACGTCAGAGCAACTTCTACACTTTCCTTGAGCACATCACCCAGCTTGCCCGTCAGCTGTACGCGTCCTTGACCCGGCATATCTGCAATCTCGATGAACAGGATAGATCCCTGGCCGCCGGTTGAGTAGGCTACCAAGCCTGTGATTACTCCCGGTCGCGCAGACTGCTCGGTAACTTCTTGGGCAAACTTTTCAATTCCCAGCGTTGCCTCGACATCTTCTACCGTCACCACTGGAGAGTAGGCCGCCACCGTGTTCGTGTCTTTGGCCGTCGCATACTCGACTGCCTTGGCTCGGCAGACTGATCCAATCTCGCGCTCCAGATTACGCACTCCAGACTCCCGAGTGTATGATGTGATAATCTTGTCAAGCACCTCAGTCGGAATCTGAACATGCTCGGTCTGCAGTCCATTCGACGTAATCTGCTTTGGTATCAGATGCCTTGAGGCAATGTGTCGTTTCTCAAGTGTTGTGTAGCCCGATAGCTGGATAGTCTCCATGCGGTCCAAAAGCGGAGGCGGAATTGTGTCCAGCGAATTGGCCGTGGCAATGAAGAGAACCTTGGACAGATCAATAGGGATATTCACATAGTGATCCGTGAATGTGTGGTTCTGCTCTGGATCTAGTACCTCGAGCATTGCAGCGCCAGGGTCGCCATTGTGATTTGACATGCCAAGCTTGTCAATCTCATCCAGCAGGAAGACGGGATTTGCCACTCCCACTTTCTTTAGACCGCTGACAATAAGCCCGGGCATGGCTGCAACATAGGTCCGGCGATGGCCTCGGATCTCGGCTTCGTCGCGAACACCACCGAGCGAAATGCGGTGGAACTTGCGCCCGAGTGCAGTCGCAACAGACTTGGCTAGCGATGTCTTTCCTACACCAGGCGGGCCCACCAGAAGCATAATGGGCGACTTGTCAACCATGCGCTTCTTCTCCAGCAGCCGCACTTCGGCCTCGGACGGCTCCTTTGCTACCTTGTGTGTAGCCATCGGTTGCTTGGCCTCAGCCTCGCCGTCCGCATTAGGGGCTTCGGTCAAGGACTGGATCTGATCATCAATGCTCTTGTTCGCCTGTTCTTTGAGCTTGAGCACGGCAAGATACTCGAGCAACCTCTTCTTGATCTTGTCCAGGCCATAGTGGTCATTGTCCAACTGCTTCTTCGCTCGCACCAGTGTGTTGGCATCCAACTGATCAACCGTCATCTTGCTCCATGGAATCTCTGCAAGGTTCTCTAGATAGTTCCGGCACACCTGATACTCCGCCTGCGCTGGATTCATCTTCTGTAATCTTGCCAACTCGCGCTGTGCCACTTTATTGGCCTCTGCTGATAGCTTCGCGTCCTCGAGTCTCTTCTTCAGCTCATCAATCTCATTCGGCTCATCTTCACCCGCCTGCTGTTGTCCCCCCCCAGGAAAACCTGCAGGGAAGCCAGGGGGCATACCTCCCATCTTGGTCCGCCTCTTGAGAGCCTCTTGTTGAAGCTTCCGTAGTGTGTCCATGTCCAATGTGCCGTTGGATGATTGTGTGGTCGCAACTGTCATGCGCGTGTTGCCTTGGATGTTGCTGATCTGCCGTTGCAGAATCTCAATGACCCGGTCAACCCTCTCCTTGACATCCACAGATGCCAGTACGCGCAACGTCTCTTCGTGTGTGGTGTCCACCACGTTGGCCATGAAGTCGGCGAGTAGGCCAGCATCCGACAGGTCCTTTCGTGTGATGAACATTTCCAGTCTCCGTGCGACAATAGGCGAAAGCGTAACTTGTGGTGTGCGTGGTAGTATGGCGGATAGTCGGACTAGGGCGAGTAGCTCGCGTGACAACTGCTTGAGGAGGTTGAACTGGTTCAGGAGGTCTGCACTCGCAATGTCGACTGGAACTTGTTAGCTTGCCACATACACATGGGTAGAGATGGAGAGAGGTAGAACATACTGTATTCCTCAACAGCCACCAACTCTCCCTCAAAGTACGGCCTCTCTTGCACAACATCAACAACCTGGACTCGTTCGAGCCCCTCGACAATCAAGCTCAAATCACCCTGCTTGCGGCCCTGCACCCCACTGACTTTTGCCACACAGGCATACCCAAAGATATCCTTTTTAGTCGCCAGTATGGGATCAGTCTCATAATGCGTCTTGTCGCGCTGATGTCCATCCTCAATCAACAAGTTGCCATCCGGGCCCAGTGTATTCGAATTCAGCGGCACACACGCGACCGTGATGGCGGCATCCGGCTTAGCCGTGGGACTGATACTGTATATCTTTGCGAGAATAGCAGCGACATCGGAACGATTGGTAATGGGTATCTTGAGCGTTGTACCGGGGAGCACGGCGAGAGGCGGCGCAAGCGGGATGAGCGGGAGCACCGTCGTGCTCGTCTTGGACGAGCCCTTGCCCATCATGACTTGCTAAAACAACGACAGAAAGCTGAAACTAGGGATTCGAAGGATATGAAGGGGAGGAGAGGGGGGGAGGGGGGCGGAAGGAAAGTGCGAATCGTATGGGCCAAACCGACAAAAGCGGTCGTTTGGTTCGCGTTGGTGACGTGCGGAGTTGGTACCGCTGGGATCAGTGGCGGGAGGGTGCGGACTCCCCTAAGAACAGATCAAGGAGCAACCCAGCTGAACTTGTGCAGCAATGCAGAAGGCTGGATGGATGGATGGATGGATGGATGCGCGCGAAATGTGTAGTAAACAAGAAACAAAAAAGCAATTCTGTTGACACAAGATATGCCCTTGACAAGACAAGCTTACTCGTCGTCACATGAATGAAGAGGGCGCAATGGTGCTTCCAGAAGATACTCTGTCTCGCTCTCTGTGTTGATCCCGCCGCTCTTCTGCGCATCTCGTCGCGGCATCATCACGGACCCTCTCTCCCTCGCTCGCTCGCTCACTCACACGCTTTCCCCCAGGCCGAGGTTAAACGTGCCGACGACGAATCACATCAGGCGCGTCGCCCAGACTTGCCATCTGATAAGATGACCTCCGCACTTCCCGTACTCCATCCCGCACTTTGGGTCCCCCGTTTGTTGCAGCACCCAACACGTCAATGTACGGATAGTACTGCTGCTCTACACGCATACGTATGCATCTTGTATTACAGTGGGTGCTCCGTGATCGGATGCAGAGATGCGCGCTTTATTATAATTTTTTTTTATCTCTCTCTCTCTCTTTTACCTTCCTTCGTGGACCGGCAAACCCAAAGAGGATATTCTGTACGCTGTGCGGCACAGCGTTTCGCCACATGTACTCAATCACTCATGCACATGCACATGTCTACGTACACTACAACGGACTGCTAGGATAACAAACCTCTCTATTATATTTACTGTTTAGAATTGACGTGTGTCCAATCCTCCTCGAGGTATTTCTAACCTACCTGCATACCAACCCACACCCCTCAACCCCGCTGCAAATGCATTCAAGAACCCGTCTAAGCATTGATTCCTTGTCCCGTGCATTCCGTTTCTTACCCACCACCATGACAAGTTAGACATATCTAGAACGATCAGGTATCGTGCAATCCCTATTAAGCATACTCTGTCCATCCCTTCTCCCAACCACGCACTTCCCCCCCCCCCTCCAAAAAACATCATCATTGCCAACCCAGGAAACAAAGAAATCAAGTCAAATCCATCGTTAGACTGCAGCGCCACTCTCAATACCCTACTCGTCATGTCGGCGTATTTCTACCATGAGTAGCAGTCATGCTGTAAGGGGCCTAACAATGAATCTCGTTAGTCATGCTCATCGCATCATCCCAACATGCAAGTGGCTCACCAAGACTTTCTTCGCATTGCAGATGCGCCAGGCAAGGTTCCTAACCGTGCCATCCGCTTGTACAACCTCAGGTGCGAACTCGATACCAAACCTGGCCATCATTAGTCCCTTGTCTTTGCAAAAGCTGACCAACAGCCATCCACTTACATCTGGTGTACTGCAAAGATCACGCGCTTGGCAAATTTACCATGGCGTTCGACCCGGCTGCCAAAAGGCTCCTCGGGTGTTGAAGGGGCAACCTCTGGGTCGCGGTCAAAGCAGTTCTGGATAATGGGGAGAAGCGCCGCTTCCACAGCCCGATGCGTCGTTCCATTCTCGTCAACCTCCACGTCGTCCTCGTCAAACTTTGGAATCTGAATCTCAAAGGCTTGCGAGAGTGCCATGACGTGGTGTCCACCATCATGATGGTACCTAAACTCAAAGACGCCAGTGGTCCACCAAAGCTTGTCTCCGCGGAACTCGACTTCGCCAGTGTAGCAGTCGGATGCTTCTTCATCAGCAGCGTTTGCAGGTTGTAGCTTGTCCGAGACCAGTATGCCATCATCGGCACGAGCAGAGTCAAACATGTCCCTGTTGGTAGCAACCCATCGTCCATTAGAGCTAATGTGTGTAACCTCGCGAGATTGATTGTCGGTGACCATGTATAGACCAATCCAGTCCCTCTTGCTGTGATTTAGAGGAGCTTGCCAACGAACCTTGATGGGCGCACCATATTCCAGGGCCAGTGTCTTGAAATCATTCGTCCGTACTGCCGGAATTCTGGCAAGCTCGCCTTCGCGGCCGCCATTCCTCTGCTTTTCAACTGTCGCTGGTAACAAGGTTCCTTCAACCTCTAGCTTGTATTGCTTGGGGTCCAAACCAGACATGTCTTGTGAGGATCGGCTGATAGTAATCCGTCTCGGAGAGATATTGAACACGCCCGTCACCCTCTGGGCGAATGTACTGAATTCAGCAGCAATCTTTAGTCTTGTATCGTCCAAGAATTTTTCAATCTTTTCCATCATGGAGTTGATGTACTGGTCGGCTGCAGACTGCCACTGGCGGACTGGATCAGGCAATGCTTGACGTACAGTCTTGCTGACACCTGACATTTCGCGAAGGTTGCGGCCGTACAACTAGAAAGATAGAGTTAGCAAGTCATGCAGATTCATTGTATTCTGATGTACTCCGCATAGTCTCTTGGTCCAGGCCGATGTCGGGAAGGTATAGCAACTCCATGTGGTACGTTTAACATGAGTTTACGACTTACCTTGATCACATGTGGTTTCTCTACGAATTGCAAGAATGCGAGGTTTAGGACGTGAGCTGTTGTAGCGAGATAGAAGACTGCAGGGCTCCATGTTATGATGGCCACACCCCAGACACCAGCAAGCCCAAGAATACGCTCTGGATTGTTGAGAAAGCGGTAGATGCCACTGTAGGTAAGCGATTTCGAAGGGGGGTCGAAGAAGAAGTCGCCACAGAACCATCCGAATTCTCCAAGCGATTCGTATATGCTCATAGCAACCCACAACTGAAGGGCAATCATGGCCACGCCAAGAACGTGTCGAAAGAGCGCAAGTCCGCTCAAGCCTTCAGGAGGGAGACTGTACATCTTCCAGGCGAGTGCGACAAAGCTTGCGTGACTCATGGTCATGCTCATGTGGTAAAGCGACTTCCACTGGCGCCAGGCCTCTTCTTTGGTATCACCATATTTGATAAAGTGCTTAGTCCAGTTCTTCTTCTTAGACTGTCGGTCCAGGATATAGCCTAGGCCCAATGCATACCATAGCCGCCATCCGAAAGCATTGACGAAGAGGAATGCTTTCACCGTCCATGTGTTTGGAGTCAGCACCGCCAAGCATATCATATAGAACGAAAGCAGTACTACCGTGACATCGATGGAACGATGGAAATCTGTATTCAAAGGTCCTACAATGTGGTGCGTAGGGGCAGGTTGCTTAGAGGGGTCGTGGACAGCGTCGCTGAATCCGAGTTCAGATTGACCAGTCTTGGGGCGGTCTTCGTGAGCAGCCTCCCCAGAAATTTGGCGCGTGCGGCGGGGAGGAGCTGGGTTGTACGTCGCTTCAATATGGGGCTCCTCTACGATGGACAAGAAAGCAAATTGGGCAGCATGAGCGATGATGGAGATTGCTAGGACTTTGTAGCTTGCCGTCATTAGGGCAATACCATAGTATCCGGCATACCCGATCGAGTACATGGGGCTGTGTGCAGGGGTACCGCGTTAGTATGTCTTTAGTTCAACGACGCAACAGAGGGTCTTACTGCGGTGCCATCTCGAAAACGCCGTCGAATGTCAGGCTTTGGTCAATGAGGTAGAAAAAGTCACCCCAGTACCATGCAAAGTCTTTGACAACTCGGTGCGCATCAAGCTTGACCCAAAGGTTGAAAAGAAAGAGGACGACGCCCGTCGTCCATCGCAAAGCCCACAGGAACCAGCTCTCTTGGGGTCGGTTGAAGCAGGCGATGGCGAAAAGGCAGTATGACACGAAATCACACATCAGAATCAGGTCTACCACACGTCTAAACACGAGCCATGTGTTGTACTCAAGCGGCGCTTCTTCAAACTTGTAATCCTCTGGGATCTTGATCTCCAGCTCACGCTTGAGAAGTTTGTATAGGGCCGGGTGTGGATTTTTGCCTGTTTCGGGATTCTCAAAGATGTGGCTCTGCTTCGCCCACAAGACGAGGCGGTTGTGCTTGGACTGGCCATCGAGCAGCCAACCAATGCCTGCATTGTAGCCGGCGCGCCAGAAGAGGAAGACTATTGCGAACACTGGAATACGGGCGCTTTTGGGCAGTACAAAGAAGGTCAAAATCATGGAAGCGAGCACACCAAGGACTGCTAAATCCGACAAGTTTTTAGGTTGTGAGGGCGAGAGAAGTTGTGAGACCATGTCGTGGGTCTGGGGAACAACGAAAACTGCATTGGAAGAGTCAGTACTGGAGAGCAGCTTTGCAAAGAGTGGGGGGTTCCTCGTGTATGCAAGATAACTGCCGTTTCCTCTGGTCATCCTCAGCGACGCGAGACATACCTGTACCATCTGGGGTCCTTCCATAGGTTCGCTTCTTGCTGGCATCACCTTTGTGCTTTTTGTTTTCTTCGTCGTTCAACTGCAGAACCTTTTGCTTAGCATCGTCTGCATTGTTGAGATGTAGTGGTTTGGCGTTTGGCCGTTCTCGCAGCTGGCTACCGTCGGCCATGGGCCCGTTGCTAATATCAGCCATGTTGGCTGGGACGCAAGCAACTGGATAGGAAGCAGGTTGCCCAAATACCAGATGGGTGAGGGGTTCTCCCGACTGATATCACAGCGACAGCCAAGGCTTGAGCGCTGGGTGAACTGCCGTGTTCAAGTGACTGTCCGGCACTGTAGGGCGTTGGAGCTGAATGCGCCGGCGCGGCTGTAGATTCCAATTTGTCTCTGTGTGGCTGCAAATCTCGCTTCTTGGATGCGGACCAACGAGAAGGTTCAGAGTGTTGAACTCTAGCTAGCGTGTGAATGTTGAACGTGGGATGGGAAGGGAACAAGGTCGTGGGCAGTGCAGTTTGTGTGCAGCGACCGCGCGAAGGAAGCGTGGGTTAGCGGCACGTCACTGTGTGGGGCTCTGGCAGCATAAGCCGACTTGGCCCGAACTGGTAGTCATGGGCCGAACTGCCGTTCAGCACGCTGCAGTAGCACGTAAAATGAATTCTACCAGTAGTACACACACGTCTTGTTTTTGTTTCTTTGGAGACAAATCCCAATACGAGGCTGTTTTATTAAAATAATTTCCATCGTACTGTAGTTATGCTGGTTGGTGAAAAAAAAAAAACGCCCCCCCACTGCAGTGTGGCACCAAGAAGCCCAGGGAGCATGGGGGAGAGTGATCGAACGCAAAAGAAGAATTTCGATTAAGAAATGGCATCCAATGCGCCAATAAAAGAGCCACTACTCCTTGTATGTATGCATGCATGCATGCATGGGAAGTGGGGTTATATACAGTATCCACCTGTCGTGCTGTGACATTTAGTGTACCCATCACACAGAGTTCACCCTGCTTCTCTTGGGCCTGCCAACATTGCCTACCTTCTCGTCTAGGCCTTGCTGCCGTGAAGCTGTGTTATCCCAAGACTGCCTCCTCGCTTCCTCAACACTTATCTCAAACAAGTTTTTCCCATTTGGTTGTGCAGTGACAGATTTGGTGAAGCGACAGTTATCCATGCTACTACCCAATCCCGTGCCATCCAACGTTGTCGCTGCTATTGCAGAGCAAATATGCAAATCAGCGAAATGTTGGTCCAATTGCACATCCTGATCCTTGTAGGCGTTTCGGGGTTCAAAGAGAGCAGCCTCAGGGCTGAACACAAACTGCTTTCATGTGCAGGCCATGGGCAAAGGCCACGTAGTGCTTGTCTGTACCACATACTGTGGACATACTGTGCTTGTGGCAGTCGCTAAATCGAACCCGTCAGCATTTGAATGATCATCTGGTGCGATGTCGTCAACAGAGGAAGAGTTGCTGCAATCCTTTTGAAACGAAGATGATGCCATCTTGTCTGCCCAGCCATTCCACTGCCCATCTCTGGCTTCTGGTTCTTCCGGGTATGAACATAGCGTAGAATCCGACGCAAGGTCCGGTATCGTCGACGAGACTGTTGTAGATGGCGACGAAACTGTCTCGGCGAGGTAGATATTTGCTTTGCAAGCTTGCAGATTGTTGAGGAATGCTTGTTCATCACACTCTCGATTTTGTATTTCTTTCTCCAGCTCATGCATGGTTTGCCGGATCCTCTTCTTTTTCCTAACAGGCAAGGACGAGTCGGCCGCAAGCCGCCGTTCGTTCCGAGTTTGCTTCTTCCGTAGCGCCTGCAGATAGGTAACGCAGTTGGCAAGTCCTTTTCAAGCTCCAGTCTCGACGCCTGGGCGGAATAGGGGAAAGCGTTCTCGATGGAGAAGAAGAAGAAGTTACTATGTGTGTTGGAGGCCATCCAAGGCTGGCATGAATCGGCATAACACTTCATGATAAAAGACATGGACAGAGTGTCGATATAAAAATCTTACGGGGTCTCAAGAGGATACAGCGCGAGGCGGATACGAGGGCAATGTATTGTTATGTCTAGCATGGTAAACCAAGGCTGGCGCTGGGGTTGGCTGGAGCCGTCCCTCGCACGATGGGCGGAGGCGGTGGGCTACCATGTCTAGAATCCAATGGAGATCATGTCATCTTGGCAAAGGGCTGTTCTAATAACTCAGGAGACGCAAAGTTTGCGAGGCAAAGGGGGAGCGAGGAATCAAGGAAGCCTTTGGAAGAGCATTTACTGAAAGCCCGTCACAACAGTCAGATCACGAGCGTCGCGACCAGAGGCTAGGTTCGCGCCGTTTGGTCATGGTGTAGAATGCAACTCTCCTATCCAGCAGCTGGGAACGCCACGGTCCTCGGGGTGGTACTATTTTGCCATTGTTCGCTTCCGACAATCAGAAGGGTTACAAAGGGGTTCCGGGAGGCTTGCCGGCGAGAGCCCTGTGCTGAGAGCATTCTAGAGCAAGTTGGTCAAAGGCGACTTGCAATTGGTCCGAGCTGGCTAAACTCGGGTAGCGCAGACTACGAAGAAGGTTCCTTGATTTCTTTGTACGAGAAGCTTTCTGGCGTTCTGGGGCGTGAAAGGAGCATTTGCAAGCAAAGGGGTCACAGTTTTTAGTGGCTAAAGATGCTTATATTCAGCTTCATTCAAACGGCACTGAGGGCAGCTCAAGGTACCTTTCGACTGCTTTCCACAACCCTAGCCGCGGTCGTTGTTGGTCCATGATAATGTCGCGAGATTGGTATGCAAGGGGGGAAGGTCACGCCACGGTGGTGAGGGTAGACGGCTTCTTCGCGGCCGTTGAAGCAAAGTGCGTTAGCCGCGCCGGTACCTGCATGCGAGTAATGCTGTCGTAATCATTCATGACCAAGGACGTTGTTAGAGTATATAGACCAGCGGCTGGCACGTTCCATAGTCGGGCGATGAGCCTGTTGCTTGTGTGTAGTAGGCGTACTTGGACATGGCGGCACGTCGTATGTAGTAGATGCCTTCTCCGGTGGCACATACGTACAGTACCCAAGTAACAAACGCTGCGATGGAACTCAATCTCTCAACACAATCGATCCATCTGCAGCTAGCCGGGCATCAAAACCCCATGCATGCCTGCGAGTCCAGCTCATCCTGTGTGGGTGCACTTCACCTTTCTCATTACTCGGACACATGTGTCAAGCCCCGTGTCTGGCTCCGCTGTGACGGCATCGGCTATGCAGGCCATGCAGGCTGTTCAGCAACCCCGCAGCACCGTTGCCCATACTGGGTGTACAATCATGCCGGGATACTCTCTTCGCGCTTTGTCGCGGCCATGCTCGAGGTACATACTACTATACGGCACCGTGCAGTGTGTGCCTGAGCGGGTTTTTCGGCCTTGGTTTCCCCACACGAGAGGATTTGCGTACGTACTCTAGCTGCATGGCCGACCATGGATGTCAAACTCGCCTGCCCGTCCTCGTTCGGTATACAGTGACGTCACCACTGTATGTAGAGCCCTATAGCATCCAGAGCATCCAGAGCATTCATCTGTCAGCGAGCTACCCTTCTTGCGGGCCCCAATGCTGCTTGTTCTGCAATCTGCAATCTGCAATTTGCTGAGGCGGGGTTCCTGGCGACGACGGGAACGTCTTTCCTACGCCATAAGCGCTTTCGGCGTACCGCTGCAGAGCGTGAGAGGCATAGCCGTCTTGATTTGCTGTCCTGTGGCGGGTGACATGAACACCACGGCCACTAGCCAGGTTAAACTTGTCCGGGCAACGCCTTGGTCATTTACATAGTATTGACATGTTTGAAATGCACATCTACCGGGCCTTTAGTTACCGTCAGCTACCGCATAGCATAAGCTTCTAGGTACCCACATTACGTACTTTTCTCCTACCTACTATAAGTATTCCGCAGCATCCAGCACTTTTTGAACCCAACAAGACTGCTCGTCTCGAGCCAACACTTGCACCAAGACAAACTGACCCAAAGCTTTGCAACAACATGGCCGCCAATATCATCGACATCCGTGTCGACAAAGCCGAATCCGATATTCTTGCCGATATCAAAAAGGGCCTTCGGCCGGTTGCTGATGCCGAGAAAACTCTACCCACGTTGCTGCTCTATGAGTAAGCAAGCACGCATCAAGCTAAAGGTACTTGCTAATCTCCTCTCCATCTCCACAGCCAGGAAGGACTCCGTCTATTCGAACAAATCACATACCAGGAAGAGTGAGCAACTCCATCCACTAAGGGCTTGGCTGGCAGGCTGACAAACATCCTTCGCATCAGGTACTACCTGACAAATGCCGAGATTGAAGTGCTGGAGACGTATGCAGATAAAATAGCCCAACGCATTTCCCCAGGCTCAATCGTGGTGGAATTGGGGAGCGGGTAGGATCCCGGCTCTCACCATACAAGAGATTGGAAACGAGCCTCGTGCTTCGTAAGTACTAATATCTGTGCAGCAATCTGAGAAAAGTCAACATACTGTTGCAGGCCGTTGATCGTCTGGGCAAGGACATCGAATACTACGCCGTCGACTTGTCCCTGCCTGAGTTGGAAAGAACCTTCAAACAGATACCCATAGGTACGTGAGCGCAATTTGACACGGCGTCATTGAATAAGTTGCACGCATAAGTGCCTTTATCTGCTCTAGTCTAAGGTAAAAAAAGCGTTGGTGACCGTCATCGGCGTTCGCCTGGGGTCTGCATATGTACAACTCAACAAACCCCGCGCTAGTCTACCATGGTACTTGTCCATCTATCGCATAGCCGGCATGGCAATACCACATGACTCCTTGATTACGAAGGCTTGCTGACCACCCGCGTAGAGGGGTATAGCCATGTCAAATGCTTTGGGCTCCACGGAACGTACGATGACGCTCTGGAGTGGCTCAAGTCTCCCGCTGTCGAAGCCAAACCCAAGACAATCCTTTGGCTAGGTTCCAGTTTGGGCAACTTCAAGCGTCATGAAGTACCGCCGTTCCTTGCCGGATTCGGCAAAGTCTTACAAACTGGTGATACCATGCTTATCGGTATCGATTCCTGCAAAGATCCCAAAGTATATTGCCTGCCACGAATTGTACGCAAGATAAATACTGACCTTCGACCTACGCTAGCGCGTGTTCCATGCATACAACGACCGCGACGGTGTTACCCACAGATTCATACTCAACGGACTCAAGCACGCAAACGCTCTCATGGGGGAAAACGCTTTTAACTTAGATGACTGGGAAGTCATTGGCGAGTATGATACAAAGGCTGGGAGGCATCATGCTTTTGTAGCACCGCGTAAAGACGTCGTCGTTGATGGGGTACCAATGAAGCAGGGTGAGAGAATCAGAATCGAGGAGAGCTACAAATATAGCCGCGAAGAAGCCAAGAAGCTCTGGGAGCTCGCCAAACTTGCCGAGAACGCGGTGTGGGCTAATTCAAAGGGTGATTATGGTGAGCATGCACTGAAGATGATAGAGTGATGACGCGTATCTGATAGTCTTAGGTCTTCACATGGTCTCCAAGCCCTCATTTTTCTTCCCTACCACGCCAGAAGAGTATGCAGAAAAGCCAGTGCCTTCTCTCACTGAGTGGCAGGAACTCTGGAAAGCCTGGGATGCTGTTTCGAAGCAGATGATCCCAAATAGCGAACTGCTTGCCAAGCCGATCAAACTCCGAAATGAGTGTATCTTCTACCTAGGCCATATCCCTACATTTCTCGACATTCACATCGCCCGTGCCACCGATGGCAAGCCCACAGAACCCGCTTATTTCTGGAAAATTTTCGAGCGTGGTGTAGATCCTGATGTTGATGACCCAACCTTATGCCATGCCCACTCCGAAGTCCCTGAAGAGTGGCCACCGTTGGGTACGATTTTGCAATACCAACAGACTATTCGCAAGAATCTTGAAGCGCTCTACGATTCTGGAGAAGCAGAGAAAAACTGTCGTATTTCGCGCGGATTGTGGATAGCCTTTGAGCATGAAGCAATGCATCTGGAGACCTTGCTCTATATGCTTATTCAAAGCGACAAAGTCTTGCCGCCTCCAGGAATCAAACAACCAGATTTTGCTGCTTTTGCTGCACAGTCAGAAGTTATGGCTGTTGAGAATGAGTGGTTCACGATCCCAGAGTCTGACATTGACATCGGACTCAATGACCCAGAGAAAGATTTTGGAAGCAAACGGTACTTTGGCTGGGACAACGAGAGACCCTGTCGATCAGTACACGTGAAGTCCTTCCGTGCCAAGGCCCGGCCTATTACAAATGGAGAGTATGCCACATACTTGCTCCAGACCGGCAAGAAAGGTGCGTACCATTCGCAAACAACATGCTGATGTTGTTTCAGTAATTCCAGGATCATCTGTATTGTCACATGACTGCACCTTGCTGACTTGGCTTGACCAGAAATACCCGCGTCTTGGTGCGACAAGGCTTATTCCAACGGTCACGATACAAACACAACGAAGAGAGACAGTGTTGTCAATGGTCAGTCGAATGGCAATGGTGAATCCTCGCAGGGCATCATTGAAGGAAAATTCGTGCGTACAGTATATGGAACTATCCCATTGAAGTTGGCCATGGGCTGGCCTGTCGTCGCATCCTATGATGAGCTTGTTGGGTGCGCGCAATGGATGGGCGGTCGCATCCCCACCATGGAAGAGGCACGAAGCATCTATGCCTATGTCGACAGCATCAAGCCAGAGTTTGAGCAGTCGCTCGGCAACACAATTCCAGCAGTCAACGGGTACGTTTTTGAGAACCAGTCAGGAAGAATCAGATGTCTAACACAACACAGCCACCTGCTTAACGAAGGCGTGTTTGAGACACCCCCATCACACCATTTGTCCAACGGCAACTCCGGCGCAGTAACGGGTCTTAAGCCACGCGATCTCTTCATCGACCTTGAGGGGACCAATGTGGGTTTCAAGCACTGGCACCCAGTCTCGGTGGCCGAAAAGGGCGACAAGCTCTGTGGGCAATCCGATCTGGGTGGTGTTTGGGAATGGACTAGTACTGTGCTGGAGAAGCATGACGGTTTTGAGCCGATGGAACTTTATCCAGGTTACACAGGTATGGGGAACTTCCACGGGCTTCTATCGCTCGGCTTATATGCAATATCATATCGCTAACAGCAAGCAGCCGACTTCTTCGATGGCAAACATAACATAACTCTGGGTGGATCCTGGGCGACGCATCCGCGCATTGCTGGACGTAAGACATTGTAAGTGCAGCAGAGCGAGTGTAGCCAAGACTGTGTCGCTGACATGTTGAAGCGTCAACTGGTACCAGCGTAACTATCCTTATGTCTGGGCCGGTGCCCGTATCGTGACAGATTTGTAGTGGTAGGCTAACAACCACATGCGACTTCGATGCGGTTATGATGCTTGTAGTTTCGCAGCCGGACGAAGTGGTGGTGAATGGGCGGAACCACAGCGGCTCACTGTAGCCTTAACCGCAACATCAGGGGTCCTCCCCGCCACACATATCTCCTTTCATTTCTTGGTGAATTTGCTCGCACTGCTATATAGCTGTTTTGCCATGTCCAGTCACTTCAGTTTCGGTCTACTTGTTACGCTCACGCTCTTTCCATAAATTGTCTAGATCACGTATCATTCGTCCATAGTGAACTACGCAGTCATCCACCTTCCCAAACGGCTTACACCGAGACACGATTCCCACTCACCTCATCTTTTGCGGCAAGCAAACGCCTTGTTTTAGCCCCACAACTATTTTGCATTTCTGCTACCGAAACCTCCTAGACTTCTGCTTCCTTACTCAACCCCTGCTCGATTCAGTAGCAGACCAATCAAGAGAACATATTCAAGCAGACAACATGGGCAATGGCCTGCTGTTCAAATGGGAAGATTCGAAAGCGGTTAAGTATGCCACACCCCGTTCCGTCTATGTTTCCCTTGTTGTTATACTATCCTGTTGCGATTATGGCGCCCAAAATCAAGCGCCTTGCTAACCAGCGTAGACACCATTGCGGAGTTTGCGCGCGTCCTTTGAAGCACCCAGGTGCAAAGACTTTTTGCTTTGGGAAGCATAGTGAGCCATGCGTGCGGTTCCATCAGGTTTGTTATCAACTTCTCTCGTAACTAATGAAATATTGACATAGTGCAGGCCATGTTCATGCACCTGCGCGGCCATACCTGCAAACATTGTCTAGCCATTGACGAGGCCCATTACAAGAGACACCAAGACATTGCTGAGCAGCTGCACGCTATCTACAAGAGCTACGGCAGGGTCGACTGGACTATAATTCCGTCCGCACCCAAGATTGCGGCTGAAGAAACACCGAGAGATACCAACAACTCGTGTGACTATGGTACCAAGAATGACCGCATAGCCATGATCGCAGGCATGCTGTCGTCAAAGCGGGAGAAGAAGGACGCAAAGCGTTTGGTGAGAGCAGCCGATAGATCAAGAGTGATCACTCAGGAAGAGATTCAATACATTGATTCCGTCATCCACTCTGCCGATGGAATGACCAGCAATGAAACTGAAGGGCGGCCCAACCCTGAAGAGGTTGATGGGATTGAGAAGCAGCTTCGCGTAAGTAACCTGACACTGGCTCCTGTGACCAGTCCATAGTCCTTTCGCTAACAATACCATAGTATCATACCCAGGTATACAATGCACGAGGAAACCGCGACCGGCTTGAAAGTCTCACAGACAATTCTAGCAAGATGCAAGAAGCGGAATTTGACGCTGAGATGGACCGTATTCTGAACGTCTTTCACATCGCCAGGTTACTCGAACATAACACCAACACAAGAGGTCTACAAAAGAGCTCGAAAACTTCCTCACGCTTGTCAATGCCTTAAAATTGGCTATAACTGAAAACATTGCGCAAGTCAAGAGAGATATTGCAGAAGTGCGCATGCGACGAGCAGGCTATCTACGATACGTCAACAGAGCCTCGTATGAGATTGTAGCGGACAGATATTCCACCAAAAGCTGGAAAACGGGTGAGAAATCAGCGACGAGCGCATTCAATCCCAGTAAAAAGACAATTCCAGCCACAGAAAACAATGCATCATCAAGGTATGTTGTCCATTGGCCATTCCTCAAAGTCAATTTCAACTGTTGTACGGGGTAGAAAGCTAACATCACGCCAGCGATCAGCGAGAGAACCAGCAGCCGAGAAAAAGCTAGGCAGGGAACGGCCCTGACTGAAGGCATCTGGAGACCATATATCAGCGTGTAGATTGTGATGACGGGCTTCGCGAGGCGACCATTGAGCCTTACTAAGCGTCATTGTTACCTCTGCTGCCAGATCCTACTCCTGGTCGAGCGCTTGTTTCAGTGAGAGTGACCAATACCAAGACAGTACAGCAAGCTACAAAACCCATGTTAGCTCGTATAAAGAAAACAATCATGCCATCATCCACAGATGGCTGGATCACTACTACAAATGGTACAAGGTCGAAAGCAACCGCTCTTAGGTCGCTCGTCTGGGATGATTTCTCAAGCCAGCAGTCTCAGCTCGCTCGTACCTCATTACATACAGAAACATCACCCTTGGACCAGTCTTCTGCGAATCGCGACTCTTTTGACGAACCTTCCTCCAACGCCCCGGCTGTCAAGTATTCTTTAACCCAATTATCTAAGGAACCAGAGACTTTCGCTACAGAACTAGAGGAGAAAGCTGCCGCCGAGCATGTTATAGTCTCACAAAAGAAGAAATCCAAGAAGTTACGCGAGGCGAAGCGCAAGGCTAGGAAAATTGACATGATTAAAAACAGTGGAGCTTCCATCGCCAGCAAAAGAGCGAATAACCAAGTTACCGAAGCTGCCGATACGTCACTCTGTGACATTTCAACGGTGTTGGAAGCTGGCAGTCAGAGCTCAGATACGGAAGAAATTCCATTAGCATTGCTGAGTCAGGATATAGTCAGTGTTGGCTATGATATGGATCAGACATCAAAGAATACTGGATCTACCACAACTTCGCTTCAGGATGTATCGAATGTCCTTCTCCCTGGGCCTATGCCAGTCACAACACATGGAAAGCAATCGCATTGGAGAAATTTTGTACTCAACTTCACTGCAGATCAGCTAACAAACCCTTTGCTACCATCGTGGGGTGTTTGCTCATACGAATCTTGGTGCATGTTTGAGAAGAACCGTATCTTGGACTGTCCATTTCACCCGCCTCGTATGTACAGTCTAGCTGCCTCCTAGCATCAAGTACTGACACAAGTCCAAGCCATGTACTATTAGGCCTTACAACCGTCTCCGTAGTGAGAAGCTTTTATCAATATACGAAAATGATTCTAGAGTTCAGGGCTCTCTGATGCTCGTTGATACTGATTTTATCAACTACCTCACGGGAGACCCATCGAATCCGGCTCGGTTTCCCGATCTGGATGTTGAACCAGGACGTCTAGCCCAGGAGATTGCAAATTTCCATTATGGTTTTAGGTCTGAGCCTCTTATGAAACAAGAGTCTCTATACTATCACCTCAAATGTAGCAACAAGCTCAAGAACTAACAGCTTATACATGATACACTACTATAGATTCAGCGCGAAGCCTCTGGGCAGCCTGGACAGCTCCGCATTTGCTATTGCAGTATCGCGATGCCGAAGAACCCTCCTCCTTCTCTATGCAAGAACCTGATAACGTGCTCATATCAACATTGCGCCATTAAGAACTTTCACAAGTCGTGCGTCAAGAAGCTTGGCGTGGAGAGTGTATCGCGCTGGTACTGTACGCATTGCGAGAAGCAGATGCAACTCACAGCATACAACGTGTTGCGCATGTCTGACCGTATGGATATCTCAGATAGCGCCTCTGTTCAGAGTCCTCGCCATCAGGATCTGGGACATCTAGTAAAGAAGTTTGCTGAAACGGTTGATCAGCTCTTCAGTATGACAGAGGGCGAGTTAGGACGGCTAGTACCTGGAAGGCTGCTGGGACGTTTTAGAAATCTCTCAGGCGTCAGTGTTCCCCATAGAGCGTAACGCAGGTCTTTTCGATGGGTGTTCGAAATACTGCAGGATGTTTGGGAGTTTGTGAGTTTGGGAGTTTGGGAGTGAGGGAATTGATTTGGCACAGACCTCGAGCTATTCGCCGTACGTCACAACCATGCATAGACGCCAACCACACATGTTGACAAACGATGCGTAAATGTCAGATGGAATGAAATTCAGTTGGTTTACAGGAGACAGAAAGACATGAGCATATAAAGGGCCAACTACATTCGTGATGTTCATGTCCCGCAAGCATCAACTATGGTACGCACACATCCATATCCATAGTTGAGTACACTGTGCAATATTTACATTTTATGACCTACTGAACTGAACTATATTTAAGAGAAGTCTCCATACTCTGAGCTTCCCATCCAGTTCTCCACCGCAAACATCGACGCACAGAACAAAGTACCACACTTGTGCTCACCTCAAAGCCTCTACAACACCAAGCAAATCCACAAAACGCCTCCAAAATAAACACTCCCCTATCAAACCGCAGCATGTCCAGCATCACCACAGCAGCCCTCTCGCGCACCCAATCCTACGCATACCCCTTCACATACCCCTTGACCAGAATGTTCAACGGCGCCACTACATCATCATCACCTCCACCAACCTCTTCTCCAAGCAACTCTCTCATCCCCGCAAAACTCATCCGTCGATCCCGAGACCCACAATACAAAACCTTCAACTCCACATACATCAACATCGAAATGTCAGATCTTACCCACACCCGTTTCGACAATCAACCTCTTCCCACCTCCACCGATGCTGATTACTATGGAGACGACGAAGACAACAGCGCTGAGCGCATAGATGTCGATCTCGTCACCCTGGCTCTATGTACGGTCGATAGTATGGAGATTATACGCCGGGATACGGAGGAGAAGTGGAAGGGTGGCCAGAGTAGGAGTGGGAGCGCGAGTGCGAGTGGGAGCGTGATGGGTGGGGTTAAGAGGACGGTTGTGAAGATGGGGGTTAGTGTGAAGAATGGGTTTAGGGGGATGGTCAGGAAGTTTACTTTTTGAGAGAAAGGGATTTGTTGGGCATGGATGGGGAAGTGGGAGGCGAGTTGTGCTGGGTCTTTCGTTGTTTTATTTTTGTTTTTATTATTATTGCTGTTGTTTCTTTTGGATACGTACAATCATACGATGAGGGGAGGAAGGGGTCACGGATCAGACAACGTGTTGTGTATACAAGATAATGATGCTGAAATTTCTTTGCCGTGGAATCTAACGTGCACTATTGATATGTAATCCCACATGTCAGGAGCGAAAACTATTGATACCGCTTTCCCTTTTTCTCTCGGGTAACCCGCTGGTCACGTCACGAATTGTTCGCGCTCACTCGTGCTACATGGCTACCTTTCTCTCGTACGCCAGGAGCACTTGGGCTTGCTCCTTTCTTGTCATCATTGCTCCCAAGAAAACGATCGTTTCTGTCTTTTCAAGGCTCGTTATTCTGCTGCAGGATCTGGATCACACACGGTGTGTTGATGTTGCAGGCGGAAGGAGACACGGCGTTGGATAGAGGTAGTAATGGATGTATATGTGACGGTGGAAGGTAACGCTTCGAATTCGGATAGCCCAGATTGAGTTTGCGACTTTTGCTCATGGCGGAGCTGCTCGTATCGCCGGGACCTTGCGTATGAAGTGTACAGTATCGGTCTAGTACATCGTGGTCGCAGATTGTCATGTGCACCGTTGAATCTGACTTGTTGTTAGCTTGCCTCTGTGATGAACTATTTGAAGACTGAAGTCGCACTTGGGGATCTAGACTCTCTAAGAATATGTATTCCATGTTCCAATGAGTTGGGGTAGTTTCGTTCGTCATCATCGAATTGACCACCAGTGGCAAAAGACGATGTGCTGGAAGATGACCTTCTCACATCGGCATTTAAGCTCTCATCTTGTGGTAATCGTTGTACATCGAGTGGAGGGTACCTTGGCGGGTTCAATGCGCTAATGCGGAAAAGTTAAGGACGGTGTATGATCGGATCTCGCTCAAATGACCGGGCTTCTTTCAATATCTTCTCCCGGATATCAGAGTCGAAGTCTTGGCTACTTAGTTGTTTCTTGAGCTCGCCAATTGATGGCGCAGTTCTACCACTAAGCACACGAGAAACTGTTCAGCGTGAGTTTCTGGTCCGAACTGCGAGCGGAGGTGCTGGAAGGCTTGAAGAAGATGGATATCTGCGCAAGTGCCTCGCTGACAACTCCATTTCCCTTCGATGATTATGGTGTAGAAAGCGCTCATAGCCGAGATTAGCATGTTTTGAAGGGTTGGGAGTCTGAGACGAGCTACGAGTGCCCATGCTTACGCGAAGATAAGAAGAAAGTTGGGATCGGTGGCGTGGCTTCTAAAGAGCGAAAGAGATTCATCGCTATCCAGGTAAGCGAGTACATTGCAGAAAGGCTGAAGCTCCACGTTCGGTAGGACAACGCCGGGCGCCAAAGCATCAAGTTTTAGACAGCGTTCACGCACGCAATGATTGAGTTTGATATACGTAAGATCATTGGGACAAGTACCAACTGCGATGATGATGCTGCTCCAGATGGGTCTGGTAGGCATGGCGCAATTGTTCGTGAGTTGCCATATAATGAAGTGAGATACATCTCTTTATCAACCTTGGAGATCTCTTAGGTCTGACTATGGGGTAGTTTGTGCCTTGAAGCGCCTTTGTCTTGAGTCTGCAATATCGGCAAACCTAGTCTTGCATTTGACCGTAGTTTATGTCAAGTTTTGTTCTTTGTTGACCTGCACATTTTGTATTGAGATAAGCAAAATGTGTGATTTTCTAATGTACATTGGTATATCGGTGGGTTGCAAAACAGGAGGGTGATGTGCAAAGTATCTGATAATACAAACACAGTGTTTAAGACAATACGAACTCAGGATTGTTGTTGTAATTGACGCTTCCAATATCGCACAAGTGGCTTCCAGATGTTTGTTTTCCCATCGAGCTGAGAATACGCCACGCCCAGAAGCCCGCCTGCAAAATGAGCCTAGTGATGTTAGTGGCTTTGTTCATGAGAGACTAGGCTAAGAACTTACTGCATGTCCAAAATTGACAAAGCTGTATCCGCGAATCATACCGATAAAATCAAAAAGCATGATGGCAGGCAGCACATGTTGAGCCTCAAAATGCACAGGTACAAACAAGATTCCCAGTCCAGCGTGTGGGTACTGCATGCAGAAGACACCGAGGATACCAAAGAGCGCACCCGATGCTCCTCCGCAGCGGATGAAAATCTCGGGGATGGGTCGTTTCTGAATGGGTATCAAAGTCGACCAATGCTGCGCGAAACCAGACAGCACACCAGCTGATAAGAAGAAAGACAAGGTATGGTATGGGCTGCCCTCGAATAGGCGTGAATACCCAACTGGTTTCATGAAGTTGTTCAAGAAGTACATGTTTACGAAGAAATGCAACGCTCCAGAATGTACAAACATGGACGTAAACTGGGTGTAATTAACATTGCGGATAGGGAGATGCCAGAGCGTATCCCATGTCTGTGGCATGATAAAGCTGCTCAGATAAATCCCGCTGTTGGCTCCAATGATTCCATATGTGATTCTTGAGATAGGATCCAAGCTGTTCCACGCTCCAGTAGCAACTTCAGTTGGGGTTGGTGCAGTGCGCCGAGGTAGGGCCCATTGCGGCTTTGGAAGCCATCCTCCAGCAGATGTAGACTGATCTTTAAGCTCTCTCTTAGCTTCCAAATAGGAAAGGCCAACAAAGATTCCACTCGATACAAGTATGGCCCATATTGCCGGCCGTAAGTATCGAACCTTGATGTGCTTGAGTTGCTCTAGGATCGCGTCTTGATCTAACTCTGGTGCTGGAGAATGATTGCCTCCATCGGTGCGAACTTTGGGGTATTCCTTTACAAGATTCTCTGGAATTTCCGGTGTGTTTTGCGGTACTTGTATTTGTTCATTGGAAGGCCTTGGCGCTCTTCTTTGTGGTACACGTTGTGCATACGTCTCGGAAAAGCTACGCAGCTGATTAGGAAGGTGACGATATTTTGGTAGCGTCGGCGGTCGAGATACGTGACATGTCAGCCGCAATAGTGGCCTAGCAGATTTAAACGCCGACATGAGACGAGTGATCCAGATGCAGCGCGTGGTGGAGATATTGGTGTGCTGGTGCGAACTTTCCAACGGCGTCGGCCCAACTAGCGCAAGGTCCGTGCGATGTCATCACCATCCACAGACAGGCGTTCTACTCCTCCGCCATCGTCCTGTCTACTAGACTAGTCATCGTCCATGTCGTGCTGCATTATATTCTGGGTTTATTGTATTCTCTTGTGAGTTTACTATCTTTTTACTGATCTAGGGCGATTTTACTATAGATACAAAATGTGCGCCACGAAATTAGAATGCTCAGAATGTGTTTGCACTGGCTCACTGAATGTGAACGGGATCGATCTATATTACTGCTGAACATGATTTTAGTGTATTATAAAGCATTACAGCGACGAATCGAGGATCCAAGCTATTTCCGATAGCAACCCGAATTCCACATTACTCTTTACAGCAACCCGATCTAATGCATCTACGTCACCTAAGCCTGTTTGCCAACAGCAGTTGCTTGTGCGTTGTGACTGCTCGAGCTGCTAGCACTTGCCTCGTAGTGGTTCTGCTCCATCAAGCTCCAGTCACCAATCTGCTCGTCTCCGAATTGGTCAAGGTCCAGGCCCATCATCTCCGCCTCAGAGGTAACACGAAGGTGCATACCCGGGATGAACTTGAGAATGTACAAAAGGATACAAGAGACAACGAACGAGTAAGATGCGATCGCAACAATCTCAGCGAGCTGACGCCCGACCTGGACACCGACACCATCCATGGCACCGAGAGCATCGTAAGGGCCCATACCGTCAAGATCGTAGACCCATGATTGTGCAAAAATACCGGTGAGGAAAGATCCGACCATACCGCCGATTCCGTGCAGTTTGAAGACGTCCATGCCCTCATCGATCTTGATCCACTTGTCGACATTTTGGCAAAGAGAGCAGATGGCACCGGTAAGGAAGCCGATGAGTGCGGCGATCCAGAGAGAGACGTATCCTGCAGCTGGCGTAATTCCTACGAGTCCAGCGATGGCACCTGAACAAGCACCAACAACGGAAAAGTGTCCCTTGGTACGGACGTACTCCACCATGGCCCAGCCAAGCACACCGAAAGAGGCAGCAGTGTTCGTGTTGAAGGCAGCTACCATGGAGCGGACGGTGGCATTGAGCGCACTGCCTCCATTGAAGCCAAACCATCCAAACCAAATAAAGACGGTACCTATGAAGACTAGTGTGGGGTTATGTGCTTTTCCATGGATCTTGTCACCCTTGTGGAGACGCTTGCCGAGGACGAAGGCATAAGCGAGTGCAGACCATCCAGATGCGATGTGGACAGGGCCACCTCCGGCGAAGTCGAGGGAAGGGAGATTAAACAACCAACCGTTTCTATTGAATTGTTAGCTTCGATATACCTCATCTGTTGCTAGATTCAACGTACGCGTTCCAGGTCCAGCAAGCAATAGGGCAGTAAACAATGGTCGCCCAGCAAAAGGCAAAGACCATGGATGGTAGAATACGTCCACGCTCAAAAGATCCACCGATAACGAGCTGCACAGTACACGCGCAGAATAATAGTTGGTACAAGCCTACGTAGTCAGTTAGTATATCATTTATTGGCTGATTGGACACATATCGCTTACAGAAAACAATCTCTGGCAAGAGTGGTGATCCAGGTGATGGTGCAGACATCACATCTTTCAGACCGAAATTGGCCATGTTCCCAATAAAAGGGCCAGCAGTACGTGAGTAGGCCAATGAGTAGCCCCAGAACATCCACTGGAAAGTCACGCTTTACGCTGTCAGCAAGCCTGGCTACACTGAATGGACTGTCGTTGAACTTACACGCCCATCACAGCAAACGACTGAAAGAGCAATGATAAGGCGGACTTGCGGCGTGCAAGACCAGAGTATAGAAACCCGATTCCTGGTATGATCAGGAAGACTAGGAAGGCCATTATCATCAAATAGATGTAATGGAACTCCAGTCCAGTATACTGGAGGTTGACATTTTCTTGGTCTGGGTTGCCGCCATTGGGCTTCGCTGGGTCAAACTCTGGCTGTCCATCTGTCAGTCGTCCCGCCCACGACTGGACAAGCTGTTACTGGTCTCACTTACGGCTGATGCTGGTTCCATGGTGTAGAGACCTCGAGTTTTGCCGTAAAAGTCGAGCCTCAAGATAAATTATGGAAGGGATGATCCAGCGCGCAAAAGAGCACTCAGGATCGTACATATACTTCGGGGCATATCACTCAATGGCTTGCCGCACTCCACAAAGGACAGCGATTGATACGCTGTTAATCCTGGTCCATGTCCTCTTTCCACACCCATACCCGAGGCTGCTGTGCCTCAAGCGTCGAGTAAAATACGGTCTTGGCAAAGATAAGGAAGGCATTATGAGTCCAATGTCGAAGGAGCGAAGCGCAGTAGGTGGAGCGCAAGGCCTGCGCCGCTGGATTAGGCCTGTGGGATCAAGCCGAGATTGAGGGCAAAGAAGTCAAGCGCGCCGAGGGACGTATCCCAAGTTCCCAAGCCCCAGAAGCGAGTGTCAACCTAAAACGGGGCGTGTAGAAAGCAGTGGATGCAGGGACCTTGGTGGACGATAAGGCAGGGGATGGAAGCGGTATAGCGGCATCCCCAGACGATAAGGCGTTCGGTATCACGGGCGATTGGGTGGTCGTCCGTGGCCTGACATGAATTCTGGAATTTTACCTGATGGCGATGAGTAACATGTCTGAGTGAGAAGATAGGCGTCACTGGTGCATCCAATATCCATAGTCAGGTCTCCCATAAGGTTTTGGGTGTGGTCGGTCATGGTGGTTGATTCGTTCTTAATGGTCCGTGTATCCGAACGCCAGGTCCATGCCCCATGCCATGGCGCTGATGCATGCTCCTTAGGGGCCTTGTCTCTGATGATACTGTTAACATGCAACTTGCCGCAATATCGCTATTAGCCGACAAGCCTTGAAGCATGGAAGGCCAGGGTTATGTGGCAAGAAATTGAGTGTCTGCCGCCAGTATATTCGATGATGAGCTGCACCGCGAGATTTCGAGACATATTAAGCAACCGCCGTACTGGAATATGCTGTAAACAAGCAGGTGGTGACGGGAGCTTTGCAGAAGACGTCTTGATTTCCGAGTGCCGCCATATCCAATGCGATGAAAGTCGCTCCGCATATTGCTCCGTGCCAGTAATTCATCTTATGCTGATCCTACGTGCGAAGAGTCCAAGATGACCCTTGTATTCCCATGTACACCCTGTATTTGTATCCAAGAGCTCTGGCTCTAAGAGGTTGTCCCAGCTCGTTCGTAGTATATAGCACTAAAGATTATCGTCAGCAGCATTAATAGGATAACCAGATCCATTTTTGCGAAGCCCGTGTCATCTGCCTTTGCATGCTCCTGAATTTCGCGCGAAGTTGTGCCTCTTCTACATGCGCACATTGTGCGATTTGCTGCCGCAGAATAACTTAGTACTATGAGCCATGCCGACGCATGCGGCATCTCGAAGTAGTTAGGATACTTGAGCAAAGTCACAATGAGCGTGCTGCCATAGGGTAACATAGACTATTTGGGCTTGCGTCACAGGGTAAACCAATGGCTCGGTAGATTAGCTTATATTTGAGACGACCAACATTCTCCACCAGAAAGTAGTTGTTAAATGACCCTATATTGTAAAGTAGCATTTGCTGCCCACGACCCTCAGCGCGCGGGGCAGGTTCGACTACTTTCAATAGCAGAACGTACCCGCTGTTGAGGTCAAAGCAACGATTGAATGACTGAAAGGGGTGACCAGGATGGTAAGAAAACGCCTCCTAATGAAAGTGGGATTGTTTTGATGCTGTATTCAGTATACGAGAGACCGAGATCGAGCTTTTCCATCGATTATCTATTTTTCTTTCACCAAACCCTGTCTTGGTGTATTGAAGTCGGACTTCACGCTCTGAAAAGACTACGCGATTCTCCCTGCAATTAACACAATGTAAATCCAGAACAAAATAATGCTTCTCTACCTATCCATCAGCTAATGCTCGCTACGTCCTGCAGCTTTTTCTTGACTCCTAGGGTGAGTTTCCACGCCGACTCATCATCTCGATCGGCGAGTTTTCCATACAACCCAAAGCTCTCCCCACTCATATTTCTGTTCCTTTTATTGGTTTTCGAGTTCATTCGAGCATGAGCCACCTTAGCCGCCGAAGGTATGTCTTGGATTGTTCTGAGCACATTCATCTTCATTTTCTTGGCTGTGGATTTCAGACTCTTTTTGTGCTTGGTGACGGGTGTAGGTGTGTTTGGTAAATCGTGGCTGTTTTTTGCGGTGTCAGAGAAAGGATTGGGGTCGAGCGCCGCGTATCGTGGAGGAAAGCCATCACTTTTCTTGTCATCGGAGCGGCATGTGACCTGGAGGAACTGATGCTGAAGAGACTCTGAATGTGAGCGATGGTGGAGAGGCAGAACAATTGGGTCGAACCCATGAGCATCGTAGACCATGGCGCCTGCCTTGGTGTGTTTTGCGCTGCCTGCATTCCTCGGATCTCTAGAGGAAGGCTCGATGAGAGGCCGGGCAGTACGATGCCATGACGATGCTGAATATTGCTTGGTTGCTTTTGATGGGTTCATAGCTCCCAAAAATCGGCGTAGTGACGTCTGCATATTGTGTTTGCAAATCGAATTTCCACTCTGACTTGAGGGTGGGATATGGTCAGGGTCGGTCTTCCATCTTGGGGTTATTTCACGACTGGAACTTGTTCGCGAAGGTGCTTCTTGGTCACACTTTGAAGAAGCAGGAATATACAGAGGCACGCATCTTAGCAAGGGAAATATGCCTACTGGCATCATATAGTAAACCATAATGAATCCGTAGCTTAGTCGGCAGGATCTTGGTGAAGAAGAGCAACGGAATGCGACAAGAACATCAAAAGAGAGGATGATAACGAAAGGAAGGAGGAAGGGGAAGAAAGGCCAGCGTTGCTTCATGTTGTATGTCTTGGTTGCAAGGAGAAATGGCACTACTTATTGCTTCCTCGGAACGGCTGATGCGGTGTGGTTCTGGTCGAGTACCGTGGCCATGGCACCATTTGCGTGGCGTTCTGCGCATTGCTATTCTGCAGTTTACGCATCGCACGCTCAGGTTCGAGAGCGTTATTGAATCTGTTCAATTAGTCGAAGTGGGGGCTGGCGGCTGTTCCTTGATGCATATATGGCGCACACGTACAAGAGGCTGTACGGAGATTGAGGATGTGGTGCTGCGAAGAAGCGCCCGAGGAATTTACTCCTCTCACTCTTGGAAACATCTCAACATGGCGCTGATCTTTTCCTGAACAGGATCGCCGATCTGACGGCTGTGGTGGTGGTGATACCAGTGTTTTGCAGGCATAACCAGGTTTGGGCTGTGCAGAGGCGCGTTTCCAGCGCGTTGTGGATTGTTTCTTTTTTGCTGCAGCACCACGGACAGACGAAATGGCGCAAAGCACATATGTAGATACTACATACGTGCACACGTCGACAGTAGACGTGCAGTTTTGCATCTGACGAGCGCAACCATGGTAATCCATAGTAGTATGGAGATGCAGACAGCTTGGCTGGATTGGGAGAGGGTCGCGTGACGCAAGGCGGAATTTCCAGTGACGTAGGTCTGTGCCAAACATCAAACAGTCCAGCCCCCCTCTCCATGCTTCCTTCAAATACAGCCCAGGCAGCAGTTCGTTTTTACAGCTTCATTCTTACTTGCATACTACGCTCATACACCTTTACACTCTGCACTACTCCCACTCATATCCAACACCAACTTCACTACCGCAAACATGTTCAACATTGTCCTTTCCCTGCTTCTCCAGCTCTCCATGTTCCTGCTGGCCGAAGCAGCTCCTCTTACAGTGCAGAAAGCCGAGCCATGGCAAGCTGGTACCGGAGGAGGCATCGTTGGATTCATTGTTCTTGTTCTTGACATCATCGCATGGAGTAAGTATCCTTCACTGGTCTCGAGCCGCGTTGCGTTACCTTCTCGGGGAATAGACCCATCTGACTGCCAAAATCGTGCTGACCCGTCCGTGCTACAGTTGAGATCTTCAAGTCGAACCGCCCCGTGCCCAACAAGGTCATCTGGGCTCTCGTCGTGTTCCTCTTTCCTGTTGTCGGCATGATCATCTACTACCTCTTCTCAAACCGCCAGGCCCACAACACCTACGAGCCCATTCCCGCATAGACCACTCAAAGGCCCCCTTTTTCCTAGAATCCACTGCGCAACAGAAAAGCAAAAGCTGGATGTGATGACGAAATGTGCTTCTAGGTATCGCAGCCTGGAGCAGCAAGCATGCAGGAATCTTGAGTAATGGTTGGGTGTTAGGCGTTCTATGATGGACCTGTGGTGGACAATGGCGGTAGGGATACGGTTCATTGTTGATATCCGGCCTGTTTACGAGTTTCCTTTCTTGTCTGGATGACCATTGACGCAATAACCAATCTGTTCCAACACAACTTCAATGTGTTATATCCCTCTCGTCCCTCTTTACTTGCTTGCTTCTCCCCAGTCCCGGCTCTCCTCCCCCCTCAGAATGGGCCAGCACATCTCTTCCAATGGATTTTTTGAGAAAACCCGATTTACAACTTCTGTTTACACTCTACCCAGAATTCCTCTACTGGTGACGAGCTTCCTACTCAACATAAGGACACCGCCAACTAGGCTAACAGTGCCACTGTAAATTGAGACTTGTTCAAAACCTCCGTACTTGACGACCTGTGCGCCGTTAACGGGTGGACCAACAGAGACGGCAAACCCGGCGGCACCAACGCCCATGCCCATATACGTGCCAATGTTTCGAGGATTCTTTGTGCAGATCGAGATAGCCGCAGTTCCAGCTGAGATGATTGACCCCGAGACGAAACCAAAGAAGACGGAAAAGACAATGATACCTGCGTTCGTGTGCGGCTCGTTGAAACAAAATACGACAATCTCTATCGAAATGCCCACAAAAGCAAACATGTTGAGCCGGCCCAGCCTGTCACCAGTAGGGGAATGATGTGTCTAAAGGTTGACGACCCGTTGACCCCGGCGAGGAGATAGGATGCTTGCAGTGGAATCGTTCGTCTTTTGATAGTGTACACATGTAGAAAAGGGGCGTCCACATACCCACCGCCATGGAAAATAGCGCTGCTACGAGCAATACGTACTTCTTCGCCCTTCACGACTCTCCAATGAACATGGTCGCCTTGCGAGGTGGAAAATATGGACAGATTGCCGTACAGGCGAGCATCATGAACGGCAGAATGATAAAGGCGATGATGCGTATGAACCAACCAAAAGGTAGCGACGACAAGTCTTGGAGCTTGGAAAGAATGATGAGAGAACTAGAGGTGCCGGACGGGCCAACGCCGCGGACGGGCCAACGCCGGATTACGTCCTCCAACACCAATTATTCCATCCACTTCAACCACCCATAACGTGACCACAATGCAATCAATTGACGCTGCGCTTGCTGCTATTAACGCTTTGAAGCCTAATGAAAAACTTGTGTATTCTCAAATTGCAAAAAAATATGGTGTTGACCCAGGAACGCTGAGCCGCCGCCACCGAGGTATTTCTCGCTCCAGACAAGCAGCTGCACAAAACCAGCAGGCAGTCCACCCACAACATGAAGCTGAGCTTATCGACTATATCGATAGACTCACTAAGCGAGGCCTAGCACCCACACGGAGTATCATTCGAAATATCGCGTCGCAGCTAGCTCAGAAGCAGCTCGGATATCACTGGGTTGATCGCTTTGTTCATCGTAACTCGCATCTCGTTATACTCAAGCGCACCACGCCAATCGATCGTAGCCGGCGCCGAGCT